TGGATAAAGAAGAAGTGGTATATATACACAGTGGAATATATTCAGGAATAAAAAAGAATATAATCTTGGAATTTTCAAAGGCATGCATTGAACTGGATAATATAATGCTAAGTAAAATTTATCAGTCAGGGAAAGAAAAATACCATATAATTTCTCTCATATGTGGCATTTAAGAAACAAAACAAATGAGCATAGGGAAAAAAGAGAAACAGAGAGACAAACAAAGAAACAGAGTTTCAATTAAAGAGAAGAAACTTATGGTTACCAGAGGAGATGTGGACAGACAGATGAGTGAAAGAATTGATAGGAATGAAGGGGTGCGCTTATCATGATGAGCATTGGGTGATGTATGGAATTGTTGAATTACTATCTTGTATACCTGAAACTAATATATCACTATGTTAAACAGCTGGAATAAAAATAATTTGATGGGTGCTTGTGTGGCTCAGTCACTTAAGCGTCAAGCTCTTGATTTTGGCTAAGGTCATGATGTCAGTTTCACAGAGCGTTAGGTTCTGTACTAATAATGTGGAGTCTGCTTTCGATTCTCCCTCTCTCTGTGCCCCTCCACTGCTCTGTCTCTCCCTAAATAAATAAATAAACTTAATAAATAAAAACGTGGAAAAATAAATAAATAAAAATTGTTGAAGGAGAAAAATGTAGATATTCTGCATGTGATTGAAGTTGTTATCAGCTGAAAGTAGACTATAATAATTTAAGGATTTTGTTGTAAATCTCGCGCTAACTACAAACTGAAACCCTACAGTAGATAGACAACAGATGAAGAGAAAATAATCAAAGCAGAAAATCAACAAATGAGAAAGTAAGACAGGAATAGAAGAAGAAAAGGGGGAAAAGACTTACAAAACACCTAAAACAATTAAGATAATGGCTATTACAAAAGCTTATACGGCAATAATCATTTTATGGAAATAAAGTAAATTATTAAATCAAAACAGATAAAGTGGATAAATAAAAATAAGTAAAAAAATAATATGCCTACAAGAGTCTTACTTCAGCTATAATGACACAAAGAATGAGGTTAAAAGGAAGAAATAATATAGTCTCTGTTAATGGACATCAAAAGAAACCAGTGATAGCTACACATATAACAGGCAAACAAGACTTTATGTGAAAAACTCTAACAAAGAAAAATAATGTTATAAAGTGATAAAGAGTTCGATTAATCAAGAGGATATAACAATTATAAATATGTTTGCACCTAGCATTGGAGTACTTGAATATATGAAGCAAATATTTACTGATTGGAAGGAAGAAGTAGACAGCAATACAATACTAGTAGAGGGAAGTCAGCATATCAATTTCAAAAAAGATAGGTCATCTAGACATAAAATCTACAAGTAAACTTTGGAATTCAATTACACATTAGACCAAATGACCTAAAACACATGTACAGAACATTTTATCCAACAGCATCAAAATGTATATTCTTAAGCACACATAAAACATTCCCAAGGTAGATTCTTCTTAGGCTACTAAACAAGTCTTAACAAATTTAAAAAGTTTGAACTCATATCAAGGATCTTTTCTTACCACAAAGATATAAAACTAGAGATCAATAAAAATAGTGAAATGTGAAAATTCACAAACATTTGAGTACTAAACAAAATGCACCTGAATAGCCAATGGGATCATGAATAAATCAATAAAAAATCCAAAGATACATTGAGACAAATGAAAATTGATTTACAACCTACCAAAACATGATATTCGGAAACTCCAGATCTATGTGGAAAGTTTTTAATGATAAGCAACAATATTAAAAAAAAAAAAACTCTTAAACAATATAACTTTATACCTCAATGAACTGGAATAAAAAAAACAAATTGAGTCCAAAGTTATGAAATAGAAGAAAGTAACAAAGTTCAGAATATATAACAGAATATATAAAAATAAATAGAAACTAGAAAGACAATAGGAAAGATCAATAAAACTCTTATTTTGGTTATTATTTTTTACAAAGTAAATGAAATTGGCAAATCTTTAGTTAGACTAAGAAAAAAATATATAAAACTCAAATATATCAAATTATAAATGAATGAAAGGGCATCATATATGACACCATAGAAACACAAAGGATCATAAGATAATGCTATAAATAATTATATGTCAAACAATCGGATAACCTAAAATGCAGAAACTCTTAGAGACAGAAAACCTTCCAATATTTAATTATAAAGACATAGAAAATCTGCACAAATTGCTACTAAGGAGATTGTTTATCAATAATCAAACACTTCTCAACAAAGACATATCTAGAACCAAATGAATTCACTGTTGAATTCTACCATTTAAATAAGAATCAACGCCAAACTTCTCAAATCTTTCTAAAAGTTTGAAGAGAAGGAGCACTTACAAAGACATTTTTATGAGACAAAAGTATCCTGTTACCAAAACCATATAAGGAAACTAAAGGAAAATAAAATTACTGACACCTGTCTCTGATAAAATTCATTGCAAAAATCCTTAACAAATTATTAGCAAACCAAATTCTACTGCACATTACAAAGATCACACACATGATTTGAGGGGATTTATTCCTTGGATTCAAGGATATTTCAACATACACAAATCAATAAAGCTGTTCCACCACATTAACAAAATAAAGGATAAATATTATACAATACTCTAAATGATACAAAAAATTTTTGACAGAATTCAATATCTTATCATGATCAAAATTTTCAGCAAATTAGGTACAAATGAAATATATCCCAACATAATAAAAACTGTCTATGACAAGCCCATAAATTTCACATTCAATGGTGTAGAATTAAAAGATTTTTTTCTAAGATCAAAAACAAGACAAAAATGCTCATTCTATTCAGTTATATTTGACATAGTACTGGTAGTCATATTCACATAACTATTCAATAAAAGAAAATCAAAAGCACACAAACTGGAAAACATATATCTGTATTTGTTTGCAGATGACATCATCATATATATAGACAAAGCTAAATACTTTACTAAAACATTATTATAATAAGTGAATTTAGTTAAGTTACAGGATAAAAAGATTAATATTCACATTCAGTTGTGTTTCTATATGCTAACAATGACATATTTTCAAAAGCCATTGAGAAAACAATTTCATTTACAATAGAATCAAAATAAATAATACATTTATGAATAAGTGTAACCAAGGAGTTGACATACCTATGCAAATAAAACTATACAACATTGATAAAAGAAATTGACGAATCCACAAGTACATAGCAACATTTTGAGTTCATGGATTGAAGACAAAATATTGCTGAAGTATTCATGTTCCTCAATGTAATTATAAAATCAATCAAATCCTGTCAAAATTCAAGTGGAATTTTTCAAAGACAAAAAACAATATTAAAATCTGCATGAAATTCAGAAAAGACCTCACTGGTTACTTAACTTGCTTTCACCAAGACCCAGCCCCTTGTGTTCTGGCGAGACTTCCCTTCTTGGTCAAGCTTGCCTCAGTCCCCAGCATGCTGGTCTCCATAAGATCAACTCAGGCTCCTGTCCACACCTTGTAAAACATGGAGTTTTAAAGGTCAGAAAACTTTGTTGTAAAGCCACTGGAGGGTACTGCAATGCTCTTGGAAATAATGATCGTAAACACCATGGGAGTAGACAGTATGGAAGCAGCAATATGAAAAATGCTTGGGGCACAAGGGCAGATATTATTTGCTATTTAGAATAGAGGCAGCATTCACAAGACGCATCTCCAGGAAAAAAAGAAGCTGTCTGGGAACAATTCCCCCCACGTTGGGCATAAACAGAGCCACCTGAAGGAAGCTGCTTAGCTTGGACATTGGCTGTCTAACATGTTTAAACCAAACTCCACCACCTGTGATCTGGCAGGACTGCTCTTCTCTGTCAAGCTTGACTCAGTCCCAGCATTGCAGGACATTCCCCTCAGAAGATCAGGACAAACCCCTGCCCACACCACATTTCCAGGCCAGAGAATTCTGCGATGCCTTGGTTCTGGTGGAGTGGGTGTCAGGTATCATTTCACAAGCATATCAATCAGACCAGAGCAGATATAGTTAAAACTCACCACATTTAGCCCAAGGACCAAACATTGCCCACAGCAGGCAAGGAGAGCCTTTGCCAATGACTGGCCTGAAGGATATAGCAATTGGAACAGAACAGCAAAGCACACACAGCACACAGCACAGACACTGTATGAAGCTCTTGACCCTGGGCACTATGTGACCTCTTCTTTCTAAACCCATTACTCTGAGAAGAAGGAAAGATAATGGAGTTTTCCAACACAGAGAAGACAGAAACTTAAATAAAAGGCCAAAACTGAGGAATTTAAAACAAATGAAAGAACAAGATAAAGATCCGGGCAGAGATCTAGAAAAAAAACAGAAAAAGGGAAAATGCCTGATGAAAGATTTAAAGCAATAATCCTAAGGATATTTTCTGGGCTTGAGAAAAGAATAGAAAACATCAGTGACACACAACAGATATAAAAGAGTTATAGAAAAGAATGAATCAGAGATGAAAAACTGCAACAAATGAAATTGGAAACAGACTTGATGCAATAAACACCAGACTGGACAAAGAAGAATAATGGATTAGTGATCTAAGAGATAAAATAATGGATAATAATGAAGCTGAACAAAAGAAGGAAAGAACTAGGAGAGCCTGGGTAGCTCAGCTGCTTAAGTGTCTGACTTCCCTTCAGGTCATGATCTCACAATTCATAGGTTTGAGCCCTGCATCAGTCTCTGTGCTGACAGTTCAGAGCCTGGAGACTGCTTCAGATTCTCTCTCTCTCTCTCTCTCTCTCTCTCTCTCTCTCTCTCAAACATGAATAAATATTAAACAATTAAAAAAGAAAAAGAGAAAGAACTATGGAACACAAGAGTAGACTTGGGGAACTCAGTGACTTCATCAAATGTAATAACATTTTTAGTATAGGAGTCCCAGAAGACACTGATTAAAAAGGGGGCTGGAATTTTATTTTAAGAAATAATAGCTGAGAGGAGCCACAGCCGCAGTTGCCACCACCTCGAGGATTTCTGGCTCTTTTCTCTTCGCCTTAAAGTCGGGTGTCTTTTATGAATAATCAAAAGCAGCAAAAGCCAACGCTATCAGGCCAGCGTTTTAAAACCAGAAAAATAGATGAAAAAGAGAGGTTTGACCCTACTCAGTTTCAAGACTGTATTATTCAAGGCTTAACTGAAACTGGTACTGATTTGGAAGCAGTAGAAAAGTTTCTTGATGCTTCTGGAGCAAAACTTGATTACCGCCGATATGCAGAAACACTCTGACATTCTAGTGGCTGGCGGAATGCTGGCCCCAGGTGGTACACTGGCAGATGACATGATGCGTACAGATGTCTGTGTGTTCGCAGCACAAGAAGACCTAGAGACCATGCAAGCATTTGCTCAGGTTTTTAACAAGTTAATCAGGCGCTACAAATACCTGGAGAAAGGTTTTGAAGATGAAGTAAAAAAGCTGTTGCTGTTCTTAAAGGGTTTTTCAGAGTTGGAGAGGAACAAGCTGGCTATGTTGACTGGTGTTCTTTTGGCTAATGTAACACTTAATGCATCCATTCTTAATAGCCTTTATAATGAGAATTTGGTCAAAGAAGGGGTTTCAGCGGCTTTTGCTGTAAAGCTCTTTAAATCATGGATAAATGAAAAAGACATCAATGCAGTAGCTGCAAGTCTTCGGAAAGTCAGCATGGATAACAGACTGATGGAACTTTTTCCTGCCAATAAACACAGAGTTGAACATTTCATGAAGTATTTTACTGAGGCAGGCTTGAAAGAACTTTCAGAATATGTTCGGAATCAGCAAACCATAGGAGCTCGAAAGGAACTCCAGAAAGAACTTCAAGAACAGATGTCCCGTGGTGATCTGTTTAAGGATATAATTTTGTATGTCAAGGAGGAGATGAAAAAAAACATTCCAGAACCTGTTGTCATTGGAATAGTATGGTCCAGCGTAATGAGCACTGTGGAATGGAACAAAAAGGAGGAGCTTGTGGCAGAGCAAGCCATCAAGCACTTGAAGCAATACAGCCCTCTACTTGCTGCCTTTACTACTCAAGGTCAGTCTGAGCTGACTCTGTTACTGAAGATTCAGGAGTATTGCTGTGACAACATTAATTTCATGAAAGCCTTCCAGAAAATAGTGGTGCTTTTATATAAAGCTGAAGTCCTGAGTGAAGAGCCCATTCTGAAGTGGTATAAAGATGCTCACGTTGCAAAGGGGAAAAGTGTCTTCCTTGAGCAAATGAAAAAGTTTGTAGAGTGGCTCAAAAATGCTGAAGAAGAATCTGAGTCTGAAGCTCAAGAAGGTGACTGAATTTTGAAACTACACCCTCAGTAAAGCAAACAGGAGTTGTAGATAAAATGTCATGTCTTATGTGTCCTGGTTCTTACATCTTCCTACCTCCCTATATCAAGCATGATATAAGGGCTTTCATGGCAAATTTTATTTTAAATGTTTCTATGTTTACTGGAAATGTTGGGTTTAGTTTCTAAAACCATGTTTTAAGTAGCTACAGGAGCTACAGGTTGGAATCTAATGTTGCATTAGTCTTTTCGGTTATCTTCTACCTCCTGTATTTTCTACTGTAATAATGTAAGTTAAGGCTTTCCACAATGAACAGTTCACTTTATTCCCTGGGTTTTCTATAGAAACAGTTTTCAAGTTATGATTTGGTTAAAAATAATTTGTTATAAAAATTCTGTTTGCAAATTAAACTGTAAAAGTATCCAAAGTCTCAAAAGGCAATGATTTGTGTGATAATTTGGTATGCCCAAATCCCTGCTCATCATTGAAAATCTCTTATACAGTAATTGAATTCATTAACATGAATCTTGAGTATTTGGACTGTTGCTTGCATGTTGGTATTTTCTTGCATTTTTAACCCTGGATGTCCTTGAGCTCAATTGTTTGCTCTCTGGTTTTCATTTTCATTCTTTCGTAAAGCCATAGAGAACAAGCTTGGAAGTGAGTTGTTTGGAAAATTGTGTGTGGCAGAGATGGTGGGAAGAAAAAAGTTGACCTTGTTTCCATTAGAAATTTTTGCATTCAGTGTGTATCTTTCCAGGCAAAACCGATGAATTTTTTTTTCATGCAACCATTTTCAAATGTACCTTAGAAAAATCTTGTCACTTAAAGTATTTTACACTTACAATTGTCATGCACTTAGATTGAAAGGAAAGGACTCATAAAACAGTGTGACTGCCTACCTGGCTCAGTCAGAAGAGAACATGCGACTCTTGATCTCGTCTTGGGTTCGAGCCTCACATTGGGCGCAGAAATTACTAAAAAAAAAATAAAAAAGTATGAGTAAAGGAAGCGAATTTCAAAACCCAGTAAGTTGTTAATTATTAAGTGATCAGCATATTCTAATTGAGACTCTAAATGTAAGTCATTTCCTCTTAGCTTAGAGTATTTGTTGTAAAGAATGAAGTACAATGATGATATATTCCCACTTGATCATATTAAATCAACTTTATTCTCTTGACATTCTTTTAAATAATTCACGTATCTGGCTATTAATATACCCTAGTTTCCATTTTTTAAATTGACATGAGCCAAATATCACGTCCATACAAGTGATCCATTTATTTCAGTGGCTGCCTTTTAATTTCCATCTTTTCTTGCTGCTACCCAAATATGTATTATATATATATAAATATATATGTAGTCATTAGAAAACAAAATATGACCACTTTGGAGAGGCTTCATATTAAAAGTGAACATTTTGAAAGAGGTGTTTTTTCCTTGATGAAAGAAACTTAGAATGATGTCACCAGACTGAATGGAAATTGCCCCTTTCAAAGGTGCCATTCTTACGAGCCAAAAATTTGGTATTTAAAAGTTCATCTCGAGGGAATAATGTGTAATATAATTTGAAGTAAAGGTATAGTAACCTTTTGAAGAACAACATTATAACTGATACCATTATGAATGGGGTGAAATTGTTAAAGAAATAACTTTGATAAAGTTTTAATGCAAGGGCAAAATGTATTCACTAAATTTCTACATAGTGATCTGCTTTTCCTTTGTAATTTGTAGTCCTCAAAAGACTTTTTTTAAAAAATAAAATCCATACTTATGCTTAGGTTATAGGTCAGTCTTTAATTTTTTTGGTGTATTCCATGTTAATATCTAAGAATAGCTGTACATTATACGTTCAGACAATGTCTTTTTCATCTTTATGATTCCCTGACTGTAAACACCCACACACAATTCCAGTGTAGCAGAAACTACATCAATATTTCTACAGCCAAAACATTGCATGTTACTGTTGTACAAAGTGTACCCTATTTTATTATATACTGTGTATAGTGAAAGAGTGTGTAGTCTTCCAGAACTACACTATGATCTTTGTATGATCATAGTTTTTTTCTTCATAATGACAAAGTAGTATTTGCTTACTACAATGTTATAGTACATGGATACGTCACCTGTGATAGTATAAAGAAAGGGAATGCTTCCTAAAGACTACAGATTTTCATTTTGAATTTTAAATGCTAATTTTGGAATTCGGCTGCCAATGCCCACTTATGGCCTCAAATATATACTGCTTACTCTAGATGCTAAAATTGTACTTGTAATTAGGATTGGATAATGTTAGTTGATTTTCCTAACTTGGTGTCGGTTTCTAAGGATGTCTTCTTTTTTTTAAAATTTTTTAATGTTTTATGTATTTCTAGGAGAGAGAGAGAGAGAGAGACAGCGTGAGCAGGGGAGGGTCAGAGAGTGATGGAGACACAGACTCTGAAACAGGCTCCAGGCTCTGAGCTGGCAGTCAGCACAGAGCCCGACGGGGAGCTCGAATCCACGAACCGCAAGATCATGACCTAAGCGAAAGTCGGATGCTTAACCGACTAAGCCACCCAGGCGCCCCTAAGGATGTCTTCTTTTAAGTGCCATAATTAAATGTGTGTTTAGAGCTGAAAAAAAAAAAGAAAGAAATAATAGCTGAAAACATCACTCACTTCAGAAGGATATGCACAACCAGGTTTAGGAGACACATTGAATTCTCATCAAAATCATCAAAAACAAGAAGACATCAAGACTTTTTAATTTAAAATTTTAATTTAATTTTAAAGTCTATTTATTTTGAAAGAGAGAGAGGGAGATAATGAAAGTATGTGAGAAGGGGAGGGGCAGAGAAAGAGAATCACACGCAGGCTCCATGCTGTCAGTACAGAGGCTGATACAGGGCTCAATCCCACAAACCAAGGGATCATGACCTGAGCTGAAATCAACAGTCAAACGCTTAACCAACTGAGTCACTCAGAAACACCTCAAGATATATTTTAACAAAATTTGAAGAATAAAGTGATAAAGAAAAATATCTTAAAAGTGGCAAGATAAAAAAAAGTCCTTAACTTAAAAGGGATGACCCATAAGACTAACTTAAGATTTCTCAAAAAAAAAAAACTTGGCAAGCCAGAAGGGAGTAGCATGATATATTCAAAGTGCTCAATAGGAAAAAGTTGAATCCAAAAATGCTGTTTCCAGCAAGACTATCATTTGAAATAAAAGAAGGGATAGAGTTTTCCAGACAAACAAAAACTAAAGGAGTCCATGACCACTAAACTAGCCCTGAAAGAAATATTAAAAGGGACTCTTTGAGTTGGACAGAAAGACCAAAAGTGACAAAGACAAGAAAGAATCAGAGAAAATCTCCAGGTACAATGATAAAATAAGAAATAAAATGACAAAAAATACCCATGTATCAATAATTACTTTGAATGTAAATGGAGTAAGCACTCCAGTCAAAACATATGGGGTGTCCAAATGGATAAAAGTCAAAACCAATATATATGCTGCCTACAGGAGAATTATTTTAGACCTAAAGATCTGCAGATTGAAAGTGAGAGGATGACGTATCATTTACGTACAAATGGACATCAATAGAAAGACAGAGTAGCAGTACAAATATCAGAAAAATAAACTTAAAAAAGAGACTATAAAAAGAGATAAAAAATGGCACTATAACATCATAAAGGGGACACTCCAACCAGAAGATCTAACAATTGTAAATATTCATCCAACATGGGAGCACCCATACATATAAAAATTAATAACAAACATAATGGAATTCATTGATAATAATACAATACTAAGAGAGAACTTTAACACTCTACTTACATTAATGGACAGACTATCTAAACGGAAAATCAACAAGGAAACAATGGCTTTGAATGTCAACTGGACCAGATAGACTTAATAGATATATTAATAGAAAAGTAAAGTTCGAAGCATCACAATTCCAGACTTCAAATTTTACTACAATGCTCTATGATCAAGACAGTATGGTACTGGCATAAAAAATAGACACACATATCAATAGAACAGAATACAGAACTCTGAAATGGTTCCACAATTATATGGTCAATTTATCTTCAACAAAGCAGGAAAGAGTGTCCAATCAATCAAACACACACACACACACACACACACACACACACCGAAAAACAAAACAAAAACAAAAACATGCTCTTCAACAAATGGTGTTGGGAAAATGGGACAGCAGCATTTAAAAGAATGAACCTGAACCACTTTCTTACATCGTATACAAAAAATAGTTCAAAATGGATTTAAGACTTATATGTGAGACAAGAACCATGAAATCCTACAAGAAAATATAGGCAGTAATCCCTTTGGTATGAGTTGACTGATAACAAGTATTAGTTAATATTAACTCAATACTGACCACTGATCTAAATTTATTTATTTAAAAAAAATTAATGTTTATATTATTGAGGGAGAGAGAGGAGTGAGAGGAAAGAGAGAGAGAGAAAGAGAGAGAGAGAGAAGGAGGGGGAGAGAGATAGAGGGAGACAGAGAATCTGAAGTAAGCTCCATGCTCCGTGCTGTTAGCACAGAGCCCCACGCAGGGCTCGAACTCATGAACTATGAAATCACGACCTGAGCCAAAGTGGGATGCTTAACTAACTGAGCCACCCAGGCACACCACAGTGTATTTAAAAACACGAGTGTACCTACATGACCTTGGGTTTATCAGTGACCTTTTAGATATAACTCCCAAGTCACAATCATGAAACAAATAATTGATAAAGTAACTTCATTAAAATTAGAAACTTCTGCTCTACAATAGATATTGTCAAGAGAATGAGAAAACAAACCATATATTGTGGAAATATTTGCAAAGAGACATCTGTAAAGGACTGTTATCTAGAATATACATATGAAATACTACATGGCAATGAGAAACAATGAAATCTGGCCATGTGTAGCAACGTGGATGGACCTTGAGGGTGTTATGCTGAGCGAAATAAGTCAGGCAGAGAAGGACAAATATCATATGTTTGCAAGTATAGGAGGATTAGGAGGAACTTGATGGAGGAACAAGGGGGAGAAGAAGGGC